TAATCATCTTAAAGGCAAAGTTAGGAGCACAGTTAAATGTATGATTAGTGAAAACGATGCAGTTATTGGTGCTGCAGTAAAGTATAATATTGGAGTTGACTATAAACCAGAGTTTGTCATCCAACATCAAGGCGACAATCACGCCATTCTCAAAGAATATGTTATTTCAGATTTCAATGTATAAGTTAGTTAAAATAAAATTATGTATTAAGTTTTAAAAATCTGATAAATAAAGTAAATAAGAGAGACTAAACCTCCTTCCAAAATAATAATAATAGTAGTAGCAATCTTAACAACTCACGTTGCGTACTCGAAAAATGTCCAAAATTATCGCTATTACCCAAATCCAAGCTGACTTGGCTTCTATTGACCATGTCTACTCCTTGCCCTTTCACCGACGATCAGGAGATTGCTACGAAGGCTACTATAGCTCATCATCAAATAAGGAGAGCCATTCAAACTAGGGATCGAAATGAACACTTAGTTCACGCCTATTACTTAGACTCAATTTTAGACGTAGCATCAAGAAATCAATTGGCTAACCTTCGGAATATGATCTCCAGGCATTACTTTATCGAAGCCACCAGAACGTATTATCTTTTTGAACGATTAGGTGTGGAACAACCATATCGTACCTCTATATCATGCTCAACATGATTCGGCTGTTTACTAATGATGATTTTCGATCGTTGCTACAATTAATGGTGGGAGAATTGTGAAAGGTCCAGGTTATTGCCCAAATCGTTTTTTTATTTCTGTTATTCTATTTTATTTTTCCCCTTCTCTTTTAGTTTATTTTATTATTATTCGTCTTTTTTTATATAGCACCTTTTTTTTTGTATAAATTATATTAGCCATTAGTAATCTTCACAAATCCAAAATTAGTAAGCGAAAGACAATCTTACCGTAATGGTAAAATTCAATTTAGTGAATTTCGTGAATTTCGTGAATTTGTGGCTTTAGTTAGATAATTTAGCATAGCGGGCTTTCATTGTAATTGGCTGATTTTTGTAGATCATCCCGTGATATTGCAAAAATATCATTGGTTAA